TACAAAACCCGTGCCAAGTTCCTTATCTGAAGTAATCAATCCCGAAACCCGAAACACCATCCCTAATTAGCCCCATACGCTGGAATCTCAGGAACATCAAGGCCAGCCCCAGCGACAAAGCCGACGTGAAAAAGCCGAAAAAGGCTGCCAAGAAAGATGCGAAGAAATCCAAAAAAGATGCCAAGTCGCCAAAGGCGAAGAAGGCCAAAAAGAGCAAGAATGATGATGCGTGATGGGCGCTGAGTGCTGCACTTTTCACTTTGGTGCCCACTTTCGGGGCACATGAATGATCTGATGATCTTGAGGTCTTCTTTGAACCATATTCAAAGTATGCTTGCTTATCTAAGCTAGGCTTAGTCCTGCTTAAACGGCCCCAAGGATCCCCAAAAGACCGGGAGGATGCAAGGGAAACTGCATCATGCCATGAAATTCGACCTAGCGTGCTTGCCCGCTGATCCAACCGAGTAGCGTGGAAAGAGCGGCTTGCTTATCAGTGTCTGTGAACAGCCAGTGCAGTCATTTATTAATATAGCTACATGCGGGGTTTGGTGGTGCAGGCCTCGAACAGCAGCAGCGGTCTCGTGATCCCGCCTTCGAGTACGGCCTGAGACTCGTGGCATTTGTGATTCAGTTAAATGACCATGATCTAGTCGTGTAGCTCTGAGGTCCACCCAGTGACGGGGAGTCATCCGACACTGATGATGTGGTTGGTGCTTTGATGGGAGATGTTGAGCAGGGAGCTGCTTGAATGCATTTCGATGTAACCTCACATATACTCCGCTTGTGAAGTATGGGGGACACAGGCCGATGCCAAGAGTGTGGTCCGTTTCGCGGCAATTGCATCCCGGAGGATGCGGAAGCTAGGCAGGATCATTAATGCATAGTGATACGATCGCAGTTCTCCTAGGTTCTTTAAGGGTCGTCGAGCAGTTTTGATACTTGGCTTTCAGGGTCGTCGGGCAGTTTAGATACTTAGCTAGTTTTCAAGGGCAATATGATGTCAGTATCCTAGGCTAGGGTTTGTGTGGCGAGTTGAAATGTCTATCCAGGCCCAACCTCAAGTTCTCTCCTCGGACCTCACGACCTAAGGAACCCTCAAGGGACTAAACCCCTAAACCCCGAAACCCTAAACCCCTAAACCCCTAAATCCCTAAACCCCTAAACCCCTGAACCCCTAAACCCTAAACCCCTAAACCCTTAAACCCTAATGCTCCAGAAATCTCCAAGCTCTGACACCTAGCAACGACATTCCGGTCTTTGCATGGTATGCTTATGCAGTCAGCTATAGGCCCTGTAACCCCACATACTACATATGTAGTTTCGTACACTCGAACTATAGACCTGAGGGGTGTAATCCCGAAACACCGAAACGACATATCTCCAAGCCCCTGGCTCTAGACCTTCGATATCGGCGCTAAACCCCGGAACCAATGACCCCTAGGCCCCAAAGTAGTTCCTTTTGGTGGTTCGTATTTAGATAAGGTAATCCCAAAAAGGAACTATTCTGGGGCTTATGGGTAATTATGTCCAAAAACACCTAGCCTATAGCAGTCGATAACCCAATCAACACCCTCACTCTGGCCACTTCCATGCCCCGCACAGGTGTCGTCGATGCTGGCTTGGAGCGAATTGGGAACCTGGCGACCGGCAAGGACTTTCACAATGCCGCTCGGAATCTACATAATTACCTACATTCGACTGGGAAAACATTTCCGGTGTGCATCTCGTCTACAAGACTTACAATCCGCCGGCCAAACAGGGGTGGTGGTGAGTTTTCAACAAACTACCCCCTGATCTATCTCTCGAGTTGGATGCGATCTATCTTAGAATTGGGGGGAGAATTTCTCCTGGGAGGCTGGAACACAGAGCAGCCCGAAGCTTACACTGCGATGTTTGCTCGTTTCTGGGAACGCTATGAAGCTGTGAACCCAGAGCACCCGCTCTTCTTCGCGAAAACCTGGGAACAGAGGAGGCATTGCATCCCCGTTGCCGTTCATGGTGACGAGGGGAGAGGGCTAGGAAAGCATCCAGTGTTAGTGGAAAGCTATCAGCCTCTTTTGCCGTGGAGTGGAGAAGACAAGCTGAACATGGTTGGGCACCCTTCCAAGATTTCGAAATCTTCGGGTCAAACCTGTGGTAATGAAAGGTGATAGAGGACCACACCCCGAAACCTAAATCCTAAATCACTACAACCGAGGCATTCCTATACAACTAGGCTACTGGCCTGCATTTTGCCTTCACAGTGTTACGCAAAGCACGACAAATCGGTGGATGGCCTGCACAAAGCCATCAGCAAGGATCTGACAACCTTGTTCGAACGAGGAATTACCGTCGAGGCCAATGGTTTTAGTTGATCAGTTCGGGTTTGGAGAAAGTCGAGGGTTGAATCGCGGTGTTCATATATTGAGGCCAGGGGTTTGGAGAAAGCTAGAATGTTGAAGTATGCGTAGCTGTGAGTATGAGCAAGCCCAGCAGGTGAACCAGCAGGCGAAGACGTTCTACGCGGCGGTGGTCGGGGCCAAAGGAGACTGGCCATTCTTGCGCAAATTGTACCACTTGCAAACCGGTTTCACTTCTTCGAGGGTATGCCACCTCTGTCCGGGAGACGTTGCCTAGACTGATCGATAGTCACACTTTCTATGCATGTGTAAGGATGATTAAATTAATATTCTACGTCCATCTCACTTGAAATAGCTCCCCTAGGAATGGTGGAACGTCGGACCGACAAGCCAGTTGCGAACATGGACAAGCCCAATCCCAGATCCGTTTAAAGCAAAGTATGCTGCTTTCCGTGATGTCCCAGGCATGGAGAAGCCTGAGATGATACAACCCGACTTGATGCATTGTTACAATCTTGGCTTCGGAAAGGACTTAGCGGCATCTGGTGTTATCGTGGTGACTGAGGCAGGGTTCTTCGGTGCAGACAACATTTCACAACAACTCGACGAGGCTTTTGCTGGCTTCATGTCATGGTGTGCACAACATGGTCATACCAGCACCATCAAAGAGTTCGACCTCAAGAAAACTTTCAAGATGACTTCGTACCTTGCCCTTTAAGAAACCCTAAGCCCGGCCTAAACCCTAAACCCTCGATCAAATCATAAAGCTTAACGTCAATCCGAGGCTACGGCAATACCCTGTGGGCTGTGGAAAAGCATACGACGTCGCCTTGGTCAGCAAATGGCTGGCGAATGAGCTTTCTGTTCGGAGACCAGCGCCAAGCCTCTAATTAAATCTTAGGGTTTATATAGGGCTACCGGCAAGTGTTATATAGATTTACATCAGTCCCCCGGAAACCCTAAGCCCTTTAGCTACATATATATGCTAAGCTAGGCCGGTGCAACCATGAATTTCCTTTTCCTGTGTTCCCCAAGTCCACATATCCGGGCCCTAAGCGATTTAGGATGTAGCTATGCATAGGTTTGGGTAGTGGATCTTTCATTCAGGAGGGTTTCTCTGATTGCCTGGAGCTCTTGCATTTTACGCTGGAGTCTGGAAACCGATTCTTTCACGCGATCTACAATCAAGGGGCCTGGATACCAAATGAAGTGGCGAGGACGGCCGTGCAGAATGGTTACAATCTGATCGAATGCTGACTGCACAGTATATCGATTTGTTAAGCTAGGTCCGAATTTTCGTGATGCTTCCTATCTTCTCATTCCCAAGGAAGGATACTGCGCTTTGGCACGCAATGCTGCTGACAATGACATGGTTCGTTACAGAATCAGACCGAAGGTCCACTTAGTGGGCCACATCGTGTTTCCTGGCTTGCCTATAGAGATTCTCGTTGCATGGGCAGCAAAAGATGCACACATACAAACCGCTTCCGAGGACTACAATGCATCAGCAGATCAATTCGGATATTTCCCGTGGATTCATTTTGAATCCCTGCTGTTTCTTTGCTGCGATCGAGAATACCGCATGATGAAAGCTAATTTAGTTGATCAACCTCCAGAATGTATCTTAGGCTTCGCAACTTGGTCGGACGAGGACTACATTGGCAGGATATCCAGAACCAGTCGAAAAGTTGGATCATCTCGGTTGACTGCGATGCGAACAATGACGAGAACACTCGTGAGTTATCGTCGTTTCTTTCGAAGCCACTTCCTGAAGTGCAGAGACTTGTGACACGTCGCAGCTGAGCCCCCTGCTGCCAAAAGATCGATGTCCGGGTAGGCCGTAGGCCACGACAGCAGTCGTGTGTGTGTGTGTGGGCGGGTGCACGCATGGGTCTGATGGACTCTCATCGGGACTGGAAGGCTGGGCGCTTAGCTTCGGGGTTTTGTGCTTCGGATGAGGTGTATTTCGGGTAAGATGCATAGATAGCTAGGCTTAGCTGATCACTTTACGGATTTGCCGGAACCTTACGTGCACTTTCTTTTTTAGCGTGCGGAAATCCCAGAACGTACCTAAAACCCGAAGTTCGCTACACAAATTGGGAAAGCCTTCCCCGAGCATAAATTTATGTAGCGTTGGAGGCCGCAGGAATTGAGGCTTTTAGAATTACTATGGCGAGGTATCAACATTTGCGTCGCTGGCACTGCAATTCCTGTCACTAGCGCTGCCATTGTTGTTCGTAGACCTACTATTGACCCGAAAGCGATTCTGCGATGAGATAACAGTCAACAGGATCGCGCAGCTAGGCTGAGCGTTTAGCCTTGGGGTCTTCGCGTTTAAGCGTACAGCCTCCGGGGGTACGTTTCTGATTTACGGCTCATGGGATGGTCATCCCTATACACCCTAAACCCCTTCAAACCACATGTCATAAACCCCAAAAGCCTTGCGAGGCCCATGATGAGCGCCATAAGCCCCATAAGCCCTAGCAGCCATGAACTTATAAGGCAATCCAGTCCTGCTCAAATGTCTCAATCTCAGAGGCGATAGACGCAGCCTA